ATGCACACGCATGCGTGTCTGTTGCTGGAACATTAGCAGAGGAGGCGAGGTGAGTGTATTTGCTTACACAGCCGAACTTTCTGTGTGTTCCTCTGGAGAAGCTCAGACCTTCATGTCTCAGTAACTGAAGGTCAGAACGGTCTGATATAAGCTTTTGTTTTGGAAAAGTGTTGCTGGGTGGAGAGAGGGAGGATTTGAGTCAGATCTGGGGTGGCACTTATTTTCTGCATGTAACCTTGGTCATGTTTAGTCTCTTGTGGGTCTTCATTTCATCATCTGCAAAACAGAGTGATGAACTTGGAGATCTGCTGCCCAGATATTCCTTCCAAGAAGGATTTGCTGACCACCGGGGGATGTGTGGTCAGCAGCCAGCCTCCAGTCCTCAGCTCCATGAGGGGCTGCCTCATCTGCAGCAAACTGCCTCATCTGAGATTACGCCCTTCTCTGGGCAGCCCACATCCAGCTACTGAGTAAGGGGGTGGTGTAAAGGTCCAGCCGTATCTTCCTGCTACAGGACACTCTGATAGGCTGACTCCATTCCAGAGCCCACCATCGAGGCCCTCATCCCTGTTCCACTTCTCCTTCCCACTCCAGCTTCCTCCCTCTTCCCTTCATGTGTATTGATCCTTAATAAACATCTTACACCCCAAACACCATCTCAGCATCTCCTTACAGAGAACCAAACCTGTGGCAAATAAGGATAATGATTTTTACTTCAAAAGGTGGTTGTGTGAAAGCTAAATGGGATGTTCATGTAATATCCAGCATTGTGTCCGGAACATTAGCAAATCATGGTAAATGCCTGTTCCTTTTTCTTTTCTTCCCCTAAAAACTATGACTCAAAATCCCATTCTGGGCCTTGAGCAGGTGTTCCTAACCTGTGTTCTGTAATATTGGTTTGGAAAAAGCCCAGTGAGGCAAGTGGCTCTGAAAATCTATGCTATGGCTAAATCTGAGATCCTGGCTCACAGCTTCAGAGCCATTCTTGTCCCCGTGAAGTTCATTATCCATGGATCACATCAGCCCTCTTCAAGGTTCCTCGCTGAAAAGAAATTGAGCATGCAAATACTCTTTTATCATAATCACCACGTATCCACAGGGTAATTCATAAAAGAGCAGGAAATATATTGAAATTCAATATTGTTTTAGTCCAAATCAATATTAATAATTGTTTGCATTTTTAAAGTGCAATTTGCAATTGAAAAGTGCACAAAGATCAACCAGTAGTTGCTAACACATCAAATTTTCCTATTAAAGGCATAGTCCCTTAACTTTAAAACATTTCTTATACAATGGGAGCTGGAGCTGATCCGTGGAAATGGCTGTCTATTATTTATGTGCACAACATTAGAATGTGCTTCCATTCTGCATGAGTGGAAGGCCAGTCACTTTTATTTTTAAGTTTGTGATTTCTTAAATTTTTAATTTAGAGGTAATTATATATTCATATACGGTTGTAAGAACTAATGCAGAGAAATCCCGTATATCCTTTACACCCCTCCCCCAATTGTAATATCTTGCAAAACTGTAGAACAGTGTTACAACCAGGATATTGACGTTGATACAGTCAAGATAGAGAACATTTCCTTCCCCTCAAGGATCCCCATGTTGCTTTCTTCAGATCTTTAAAAATTAAAGATTTTTGCATGAAAAAGAACCCTGTTAGATTTCTGCCTTGAAACGATAGCTGTCACTAAATGAGGCACCGTCCCAGCTGGGCTCAGTGGTGTTCACACAGAGGAATGGTCCCCTAGGTAAGGAGTAGCCCAGGTGAAACTTGCCTCAGCCTGGCAGGCCTCATGGGAGCACAGCTTTGCATATCAGAAAGAACCTGAGAACGCAGTTTTCAGTTTGACATTTGCAGTGTGGCCTTTGATCCCTCAAACAAGGACAGGTTGTCAAGAAGGGAAACAGCTTGACTGGGCTCATGTGGGCCACAGGGGCCCAGTTATCCCTGGAACAGCCCTTCCCAGAGTGTAGAACTCTGGGGCACAGCCCTGACAGCCTCCCTGAGGCCATGCCATGGAAGTGACCCAGGTTCCTAGTGAGAGGGACAGGCAGCAGGTGTGGGTGAGGGGCATCCTTGACTGAAGCCCACCTGGCATGCTTGAAAGTGACCCAGTGCAAATTAAATTCACAAGGTGCCTCCCTGTTCCAAGGCATTTGTCTCACAATGGAGGTGCGAGAAACTTGGGAACTCATCTACAGCAGATATTTTGGATGAGGACTGATTCTGAGATAGGAAAACTCAAGTCCTGAAGATCAGACTTGAGTAGGGGGGAAGTCAGGCCAGAGAACCTGGGTGCCCTGCTCTAAGCCTAATGGCCGTCCCATGACATCCAGATGCCTTGTTCAAGCTGCTTCCACTGAGAGTTTGGTTTTTTTTAAGATGGAGTTTAGCTCTTGTCACCCAGGCTAGAGTATAATGGTGCAATCCTGGCTCACTGGCAACTCCACCTCCCGGTTCAAGTGATTCTCTTGCCTCAGCCTCGCGAGTAGCTGGGATTACAGGTGGCTGCAGTTAATTTTTGTATTTTTAGTAGAGATGGGGTTTCACCATGTTAGCCAGGCTGGTCTCGAACTCCTGACCTCAGGTGATCCACTCACCTCAGCCTCCTGAAGTGCTGGGATTACAGGTGTGAGCCGCTGTGCCTGGCCTTTGTATGTGTGTGTGAGACACAGTCTCATTCTGTTACCCTGGATGGAGTGCAGTGCTCACTGTAGCCTCTGCCTCCCAGGTTCAAGCAATTCTCCTGCTTCAGCCTCCCAAGTAGCTGGGATCACAGGTGCACACCACCACACTTGGCTAATTTTTGTAATTTTAGTAGAGATGGGGTTTTACCATGTTGGCCAGACTGTTCTCAAACTCCTGACCTCTAGTGATCCACCCACTTCGTAATCTTTTTTTTTTTTTGAGATGGAGTCTCACATTGTCACCTGGGCTGGAGTGCAAGGGCACAATCCCGGCTTACTGCAACCTCTGCTTCCAGGGTTCAGGTGATTCTCCTGCCTCAGCTTCCTGAGTAGCTGGGATTCCAGGCACCTGGCACCATGCCCAGCTAATTTTTTATATTTTTAGTAGAGACGGGGTTTCACTATGTTGGCCAGGCTGGTCTCGAACTCCTGACCTCATTATCCACCTGTCTTGGCCTCTCAAAGTGCTGGGATTACAGGCATGAGCTACCGCACATAGCCTTATAATCATTTTTAAGTGTACAGTCCAGTGGCATTAAATACATTCACATTGTTGGACAGCCATCACCACTATCCAGCTTCAGAATCTTTCATCATCCCAGACACTGTACCCATTAAACGACTCCCTGGTCCTCCTCCCAGCCCCTGGTAACTTCCATTCTACTTTCCATCTCTATGAATTGAACTACTCCTGGTACTCCACACAAGTGGAATTATACAGTATTTGTCCTTTTGTGTCTGGCTTGTTTCACTTAACACGATGTCTTCACGAGTCACCGATGTTGTGGCATGTGTTTCTACCATTGACCTTTCGATCAACACATGCAAGCTGTAATTTTTTAGGGGGTTTCCTCACATCACACTGTATTTTAAAGGTTCGGGGATGCATTATTCCATTTTGTGTTGCTATAAAGGAATATCCAAGGTTGAGTAATTTACAAGGAAAAGAGATTTAATTCACTCTTGGTTCTGCAGGCTGTACAGGAAGCATGGTGTTGGCGTCTGCTTGGCTTCCTGGGAGGGATTCAGGAAGCTCACAATCGTGGTAGAAGGCAAAGTGAAAGGAGGCAGGTCACATGGCAAGAGAAACAGCAAGAGAGATGAGGGAGAGTCCTGGACTCTTGTACATGGTCAGATTTCACATGAACTAACTGAGAACAAACTCATCACCCAAAGGGATGGCATTGTGCTGTTCATGAGGGATCCACTCTGACGATTCAGTCCCCTCCCACCAGCCCCACCTCCAACACATTTCGATGTGTGTCCCCTCCAAATCTCATGGTGAAATGTGACTGGAATCACATTTCACAATGAGATTTGGAGGGGACACATATCCAAATCATGTCAGGGGATAATCGATCAACTTCATGGCATTTCAATGGCTTGTGTCTTTTGTGTAAAAACTGCACCTGTTAATATACATGTATATGTAGAGATAGAATCAACATTTATCTTGAAAAATGTATTTGTCTTCAAGCCCTGTGGTCTGAAATCTGTTGTACTGACACCAAGAGGCAAAATCGAGGTCCTGGTGTCAATCATGCCTCGGGTATTTCAAGCTTTACTGCTTCATCGGGCTCCCTGGGGACCTTTTCTTCCTTGTCTCTTGTCATAGGATTGGGTCACTCTTTGGACCCGATTCCAACCCAGCCCTGATAAAAACAAACCCTCAGCTCCCTGAAACATAAATGACCTTTTTAAAATTCCAGGTTCATGGAGTGCCTCTCTCCAGATGGCCCCAAACACTTCCATCTATTAACTCGTGCTCATTCAACATGCAGCAGAGGCTATTGATCACCTTCCCTGTGCCGGGGACGGTGCTAGGTGCTGCGAATACAAAGACGGGGAGAGGCATCGATGCGATTCCTGATTCCCGAGGTGCCGAGTCAGAGGCAGGCGGCAAACATTCTTCCCACAGTGAGGGAAGGGCTGTCACCTTGATGGTGCTCTTGGGGGACCAAGGTTCACACATTCAAGGAATTCAGGGCACTGAGTCAGCATTCCGGACTCTGCCAGGATGAGGAGGAGGAGGGGACTCAGTTTTTCTTCATGCAGAATGACTGTCCCCTGCTCTGCCCCACTAGCATAAAATGTCCTTAACATGTAAGAAGCCCTGGGCAGAGATAGTGTCCATGGTGCGGTCACTTGACATCCATGGTGCAGTCACTCAACGTGGCCTGTCATGTCACTCTTTGGCCATGCCCTCAGGCCCCCCTCGCTGCTGCTGTGTGTTTGCAGGCACCCTTCAGCCTCCACTTGGCAATGTGTCTGCGATGGTGGGGGGCTGGGCTGTGGTGCTCCTAGTAGGCCTATGGGGGCAAGCTTTAGGACCATGTGAGCCTGATTCACATGGTAACCTCCACCCCAGAATGCCCTTTCTCCCCACTGCAGAGCATGGGGATGGGGGGAGTGGAGAGAACCCTCCCTTGCAACAGGGGAGCGGACAATAGGTGAATTGAATTTCCTTCCCCCTCCCCCGCACCCCGTAGCGTGGCGCCATGCTGGGGCCTGCGTGTGCCAAGGCCAGGGCCTGAGGATTTCAGGACCCAGGCCAGCGCTCCCCGGCAGCAGGGCAGGAGCCAGTCTGAGTCTGCAAGCCCCGCCTTGGAGTCTGAGCACTCGCGCCCATCCGTCATCCTTGTAGAGCACTGCAACTTTATGCCTACGCATAAAAACTAGAGGGACTCGTCCTAGAGTTTGCTGCCGCCGCCGCTGCCATTAGAGCGGTTTTAATTAGCTGCAGGATTTTTAATGAGCTGAAATCAAGAAGAGCCCCATCTCAGAAGTAAGCGAGAGCGGCGCGCAGGGAACTAGTCTGACAAAACAGAAGGAGGTGGTGCTCTCGGGGGACCGGGCTGTGGGCTCCCACCAACCGATGGATCGGCGAGGAGCAGATGAGTTCCCGAGGCCAGGAGGCTGAGGAGGGAAGCCGGGGCTCAGGGGCCAGCGCCCGGTGCAGAGTCCCCGCTGCTGCCACCGCGGCAGAAGGCACGGTGCCGGATTCAAGGTGACGGCAGTGCCTGGCTCCATTCTCCTCAAGTTGCCATAGCAGCCTCTCTCCCAACAAGCAGCTTCTCCGGGAGCCCTCAGCCGGGAGGGACGTCATTGTTCTCTCCTGACCGTGTGGTGCAAGGAGACCCACCGGACAGAGAACTTTCCCGAGCCCGGGGTCCGCTGACCACGTGGGTGCACGCATGCTGTCTGGAGCCAGGCACAGGGACCGGTCCTCACGGCCACAGGGGGTCCTCTGGGCAGCTGGGGGGAGCGTCCAGGCCTGGAAGCAGCCGCAGCCAAGCGTGTCCTTGGAGCCGTCCGTGCATCTGTCCGCCTGCTGCCGGTCGCCACTGGAGGTGCGTGTGTTTTGGCTGAATTCCCAAGTCCTTGCTTGTGCCCTGAAGTGAATTTCTCCAAAGAGACACATTTTTAAATCAAATAAATAAGGAAATGGGAGGAATCCTTGGCCCTGCCCTGTGTCCCAGGAGGTGTTTATAAGATTAATTGGATTTTTTTTTTTTCCTTAAAGTAAAAATTGGTGACGCCATTCAGGCTTCGGGGAGTGAAGCCACAAGGAGGACTGGGAATTGTGAGGCCCGGCAGGAGCTGCTAGAAACTCACAGGGGCTGTTTATTTTTCTTGCCTGAACCTTCCCTCTTCTCTGACCCCGTCAGGCTGGATTTTCTTATTGTCTGTTGGTCTTGAGACAGGTGTAGGGAGGAGAAGGCAGGTTTTGCTCTTGTCATCGGAGCTGAGGGTGATGTAGTTTGTGGTGAGGATGGGACAGTCCCAGGTGGGAGCTGAGGCCTGTGACTGTGTTTATGCCCCACCCCCAGCCCTCCAGGCCCCAGCCTGTGACAGATGGTATTGTCTACTCCCCAGGCAGCAGCTGGACTCCCAGGAGAGGGAGACAACAGCTCTTAGACTAGCAGTTCCTGTTGCCTTGAAAATAATATGTGACTTTGAAGCCTGGGGCTCTCTGAGGAACAACAGAGGATTCCACCACCCCCCCCCCCCGTAATGCCCAGGGGTCCGTTGGTGACCACCCTTCCTTCCCATACCTTTGGGGAAAGGAGGGTTCTATAGAGTCTACTTGTCATCCTTGTGGGGCATCGAAGACCCAGCCATACTGCCGGCCAGTTACCTAGGAGGGGAGGCACGCTGACCTTTTGATTTGTGTTTGCATGGAGTAGGAAGTTAGCTGGTCAGATGGTCCCCAGTGAGAACAAACACAGGAGAGTCCCAGAGGGAAAATCTGGGGTCTGGGGCTTAGGGGCTGGACCTTGAAGCCACAGGCAGCTCTGACACCTGCTTCCCTGGGTGTAGGGAGGGTGTTTGTGTTCTCTTGGGGTCCAGCAAAGGGGAGAGTCTTTGAAAGGGGAGATGCGAACAGATGAAGCTCCACCATGGAGGTGTGGTCCTGGGTCTGTGTCCCCTTCCCCTTCCTGGATTTGGGGCCAGGGATGTGGTCCTTACCCCGGCTCCCAGGCACATGGGTGGCTGGAGCCAGGCTCCATGGGGTGGGTTTGGTTTGGGCAGGTGCAGAAACAAGTGAGGACAGGTCGTGGCTGCAGGGTCCGTTTAGTCTTTGACAATGGATATCTGTACTGGCTCGAATGGAGACAGGCTGGGGAGAAGAGGGGACCGCCCAGCTCTCCTGTAACCATTCTGCAGCGCCAGCTACTGAACAAATGTGATGATGATCACACATGCTCTCAAGTCCCCTTTGTTCATCAGGTAGAGCCTGATATTGAGGGACCCTTTATTAGCTCTTTTACCAGGCAGCTCTGGGCGCAAGCCATGAACTTGTTCTCCTTTTTCTCTCCCTTCTTGCAAAATGTCTTGATGTTGGAGGCCACCCTAGGTCAAACTGGCTTCCTGGTGTCTGACTCAGGAGGCTGCAGGAAGTGTGCCCACACAGTGGCCAGCTTACTCAGGGGTTTGTGATGGTTGCCTTCCAGCTGGGGCCTTGCTGGGGACCTTCAATGGGGTGTGTGTGTGTGTGCGCGCGTGTGTGTGTGTGTGCGCTCGCGCACATGTAGGCACTCACCAGCATGCACCTGGGCATGTGTGCATATGCATGTTAGCAAAACTGCGCCTGCTTAGGTCCGTGGGCGCGGTGCATGTATGAACGCAATCCCCATGACCATGAAGCAGCAGCTGCTCCCAAGAGACCTTGCACATTCTTCCTGGTCTCCCTCTGAGAGCCTTGGCTCCCCTGTATCGGTGTGTGACATCTTTTCCATTCTTCTAACTCCTTTCTATAACTGCCTAGGGCACCCCTGAGTCAGGCTGGAGAGAACAACTCTACCTCCCTCATCAGCCGCTCACTCTCTCCTGAGGTTTTGGGGCTGACCCTGGTGGGCCTGGGACTCTGCAGTGCTGCACTGTCCTCATGGAGGGAAGGGCTTGGGGGACAGTAGGGCATCATAGCCTGCTTTGGGGCTTGCACTGCTGCATCTGTGTCTTTGCAAGGCAGTGAACCCCAGGACCCCACAACGGCCTCATCCAGGACAGCTGTGGAGAGAAAGGCCCCAGCCCCATGCAAGGGTCTTTGAGTCTCAGCCCTTGGGGACATGTGACTGTCCATTTCTACCCTCTGCAAGCAGGGCAGGGGTGGCCTCAGTCGATGACAGGAAGCAGCAGTTTGTCTTTGGGGCAGAGGCCATGACAGTGAGGTCGGGGCCGGGTTGACACCCTGGAACCGGCTCCAGAGACAAAATGGGCCCAAGTCAGTGCTTCCGTAAAAAGCTGGAAGGCTGCGGGAACCACCTGCTCGGCACAGTCCAGAGAGCCCAGTGTCAGGTGCCTTCCTGGTGTGGAGAGGCCTGGGGCAGGTTAATTAAAGTTAACTGAGTGAAAAAATAACTACAGAGACTGCAGAGGGGAGAAACCCAAATCTGCAGATTACCCTCCCCAGCCCTTGAGCCTTTCAGAAAAACAGTCTGGTCGTGGGGAGTTGTTTTCTGGGTAGGGTAGCAGGGAGAGGGCCTCTTCTCATTCCTTGTGCTCCATGGGCTAGGTGGGGGGCTTCGTGCCCCAGCACTTGGGTCTGGGTTGGAGAGGAGTCTCCTGGCCGAAGTATTGTCCCTGGGCAGGGGAATGTCCTTGCCCCAAGCAGCACATCTAGACTGGGGCTTCACCAGCCACCCAGCTGTGGCCTCAGAGGCTGCTGGAAGCTGCCCACCCAACCCCACCCTGTGCCAGGGTGGGGAAGTTCCCCCCAGGGCTCCTTGGGTGGAAAGAGGGCGATACCCCAGGCCCGGCCAGCAGGGTCCACTGGAAAGTAAGGGACGGAGTGACCTTCAAAGCGGGGGGTCCCTGTGGTACCTGCTGCCTGTGCCTCCCTCCCCCTGAACTCTGACCATGCCCTCCCTACACCCACTACGAGAACTGACATTCTTCCTTTGGCCAAATGGCCTTGGGGTGCCCCCATCTCAAGGCACAGCCTGGCCCTGTTGGTGTGACTTGCTGGTATGTGGGGGATGGAGAATTTCTCTCCCTGACTTCTAGTAGGAAGTGGGGTAAGAGGCAAGTCACATGGATAATACTGTGGGTCTGCAGTGGCCAGAGCAGCTAGTGCCCACCCCCAGGAACACGAGGGGGTGTTAGCACCCAGCCTCTGTGCCTCTGAGCTTGGAGTCAGTTGGACACAGGTCTAGCTGCCCCACCTCGACTCCAGGCCAAAGGCCTCGAGTACAGGGACCCATGTGGTCTGGCCAGAGCCTCAGCTCCCACTGGTGTGACTGTCCAGAGCGACCACCATCCACCAGCCCCATCTGTCAGTCCATCAGTAAGGACAGCCCTGCCTGGCAAGGGGGCGTCCATCTGTGCCTGAATGCCCTTTGAGCCCAGCAGGTGGCTCCTCAGAGCCGCCTGCTCTGTGGAGACCTTGTCCCTAATGCCCTATAGAGAGGAACAGGGCGGAGACACATCCAAGAGCTTCTTTGCCCACTGGGCCGGGGGCCAGAGATAAAGACCCAGGTTCCTGCCTGTCTCTAGGCCCCAACCCTGGGAGCATGCACCCTTATTTGGAGGCCTGAACAGTGTAGGGGGTGGCTGCTGGTTACTGACTGGGAGTCTGAGGGTTCCCACCTGGGCTCCCCCAGGCAGGGCCAGAAGGTGTCTTATTCCATAATTTTTCTGGAGGTGCAGATATGGGAGACCCTGGTGGGAAGCTAGCATTCCAGGCAGAGGTGGCAACAGGCTTTCCTGAGACTCCCGGGCTGAAAGGGTGGAAGGGACACCCCTGGGTAACTTGCAGAGGGCAGAGGCATCCGGGAATTGCACTTGAATTGCTGCAGTGAGCGGGGCCTCCACCTGCCTGGGTGCCTCGAGCCTCGGTGATGACTGTCTCTCCTCTGCCCCATAGACCTTGGCCTGATGGATGCCTGGTGTGGACGATGAGGGAAGAACGTGCCTCCCACACCCGAGAGGTGACCCCGGAGCGAGCCCTGGATGACCCAGCGACCCGGAACGATGCGGCTGGCCTGCATGTTCTCATCTGTCCTGCTGTTCGGAGCTGCAGGCCTCCTCCTCTTCATCAGCCTGCAGGACCCCACGGAGCTCACCTCGCAGCAGGCACCAGGTGAGTCCTTGCGCTGGGTCCTGCCATCATAGCCCCCAGCTTTCCAGCCAGAAGCTCAGGCCTCCACAGCTGCCCTGGTGTGCAGGCCCTGGGGGAAAAGGGCAAGTCTGTGCCAAGACCCCCGGCTGGCAGAGTAGGGGTCCTGGCTTCCCGGGGCAGGCATCGCTCTCAATGTGGGAGTGCTGTGTCTGATGCAACACCTCCAGCCAGCGCCTAGCAGCAGGGTGGCCTCTCTTGGAGGTCATGGCAAGGCTGCTGTCTATTCAGCCAGTTGTCGCCTTTGATGAGACTCAGATTTAAACAGGATTCCGCCACTTCTTGGGCCTCTTCCATATTGTGGGGGACATCAGAAAGTGGACAACATCTCCCTGAGCCCGTGCCCCACAAGTGAGACTCGGTTTCCCTGCCCAGCCTTGGGGAATCTAGCCCCTCTGGTCGGGATAAAGGGGGTCAGGGTACCTCTCGCTTTGTGAGGCCAAGACCCCCCTCCGAGGGTCCCCAACTGCTACTTCCATTTCACCCCTGCCTGGTGGCCCAGTGGAGTCACAGAGGGCTGCTGGGGACAGGTGGGATGGCAGGGAGGCCAGAGCAGGAAGGGTGATTCTGACATCTCAAGGCAGATGGGATATGGAGAGGGGAGTTCAGGCAAGGTCTTCACTGCTGGGACACAGTCCCCATCCCCAGAGATACAGCAGGGCAGGACGTCAGCTGGCAGGGGGCCAAGGCCTGGAAGCTCTTAGCTTTGGAGCCACAAGAGGGCAGGGTCTCAGCAGTGGTCCCCATTGGCGGTTCCATGAAGCCACCATGCTCTAGGGTATGGACAGGCTGGTGCAGCCCCAGAGACACCACTCCTCCGCAAGGACACCCACTCACTGTCTCTTGCTTGTTCAGTGCTGTGAGCCAGAAACAGGTGAAAGAGAAGGGGGCCAGAGGTATAGGCAGAGGGCTTCCTGCACAGCCCCTGCCAGAAGTCCAGAGCACAGGAAGAGGTCTCAACTCTGCAGCCCCTCCACCCTCATTGTGGATGAGCAGCCATGATGTGTGGCCCTTAGTGCAGATTGAGGGCCCATGGGAAGAAAGATCAAAAGAACACAAGGAGGCCAGAGCTGGGGCCCTGGGTCTGAGCTGCCAGAGGGCCCCCCATGGGCAAGTGGATGAGTTGAGAGTCAGAGGGAGGCAGCCAAGGCAGTGGCCTCCAGTAGACAGTGGGTGAGTCGTCGGTGCTGACTCACACCTGGGCCGGACCCCCACAGGTGGTGGCTGTTGGAAGTGGGTCTGGCCATTCCCAGGCTTCTGGAGCAGCAGGTGCGCAGAAGCTCCTGTGGGAGCTTTGCAGCCTTGCACAAGCCCCAGAACAGCCTCATGACACTACATTGGCAGAGCGTGCCCCTTGGGACAGCGCCGTCAGGGTAGACTGTGAGCTGGTACCTGTTTTCTGCACAGAAGCAAACTCAGTAAGCAAGGCGAGCAAACGTTGCTTGGGTGTGTCCCTGGTGTGTGTGTGTGGTTGGGGTTGCATGTGGGCAGAGGGTCCAGGCGGCCAGTGCCCTCGTTCTGCAGGAGGAGCCTGGGAGAGGAGGAATGAGTGTACCTGTGGCGCCCACCTGGGACCAGGGCCTAGACCCATGTGTGGGACACTCCTGGATGGGACTGTAATTTGGTGGCCACAGCTAGTGCCCTACCCTGCTGCAGCCAGAGTTCTCGAGGGTCTTGTTGCTCTGCCCAGCTGCCTGAGTGCACACACATATAGATTACAGGTGGGCTCGGGACCCAGGGGATGACTGGGATTTCTGGGAAACTCGAAGCCTCAGGCTGGTGGGGGGTGTCAGATGGCATGGAGCCAAGCACATCATCCCTCTGCAGCTAGCATACCTGGGCAAGGAGCACACGTGGGTCTTCTGATGGTCCATGCAGCTGGACCACCCTCACCACGTGCCAAGTGATGGACAAAATTGATGGTCTGGGTAAATCACACCAAACACAGTCATAAAACTTTAAGTAATGCTTACGTTACTTTCCCTGAGCAAAGTGTCTCTGACACAGGCTGTTTGTGTTGATTTGTTACTATTCATTTATTCCTTCCCTGTACTTCTCACAGCAGCCTAATTGTGATTCGGTACCAAGAAAGCAATATCAAAGTAATTTTCCACAACATTAGTTACAATTTTCTTCTGATCTTTCAAGTGAAACAATCCCATCCTGTTGGCTTCTCTGAGCATATAAACCTTGATTACATTTATCTGTTGGAAACCAGTGCTTACAAAGTATATGTGTCCAGTTGCATGGCTGGGTGGCCCCAAGGGCCCCTGACAAGCCGCCTGCCTGTGGATTTCTGTTGGTGGGAGGTACAGACTCTGGGAACTGCCCTGCCATCCCAATCAGGCAAACAGGCAGGTGTTGGGGTGGCGGGTAGGGAGTGCAGATGGGTGGGTCTACGGAGGAAATTCTACACCATGGTGTGAACTGTTTGGGGACGGAGATCTCTGGAAGTTGCAGTTTGTGACACTGTAAGTGTGGAAGGGGGGGACAGGGAGTTGGTAGGAGTTCTGAGTGGCTTGAGGTCCCTTGGGGTCTGGCCTCATCCATGTCTCTCCCATGCAGCCACCAGGTGTTAATGGCACCTGAACTTCCCATGGATCAGCCAGCCTGGCTCAGCTGGCTCAGGCAGGAGATGGAATTGTAGGGGGTTGCCAAACTTGTGTAAATCAAACCACATTTTAAATATTTTTTGCTATCATCCAGATCAAATCTTTGGAAACAGAAATAGCTACCCAGTAAGCTACCCGCCCTCGAAGATGAGGTTTTGTGTATCAGGGAATTCACCTCCCCAGTCAGTTATTTTCCAGTCTCCAGCACTGCCAGGCCCTGAGGTCAGAGCTTCTGCTTTTGCGAAATTTACTTTTTGATCCAGTAGACAAGATTCACTCTCCTCCAAGAAAAAGACTTGGAGACCAGGCCGGAACCAGGAATAACAAATACCAACAGTCAGGTGTGGTGGTGCATGCCTGTAATCTCAGTACTTCAGGAGGCCTCGGTGGGAGACCCACTTGAGCCTCAGAGTTCTAGACCAGCCTGAGCAACATACTGAGACCCTGTCATTACAAAAATAAATAATTTAATTAAATAAACAAAATTAGTTGGGTGCAGCAGTACACACCTGTAGTCCCAGCTACTCAGAAGGCTGAGGCGGGAGGACCCTTTGGGTCTAGGTGGTCAAGGCTGCAACGAGCTGAGATTGTGCCACTGCATTCCAGGCAGGGTGTCAGGGCCAGACTTTGTCTCAAACAACAAAAAACTCCCAATGTACTGGCTCCGGGGACTGCAGAAGGCTGATTCCACATTTGGTTGAGCAAACAGAATTCTATGAACTGCTTTTTTAGTGAATGTTTTATTATAGAGAGTTTGGAACACACGTAGTAGTGGAGCAGGAGAGTGCCATGAACACCATGTTCCCGGCACCCAGCACCCCCCACCCACACCAAGCTGGCCTCATCCACAGCACCATCCACTTCCCTCCTTCCATGTGATCTTTGAAGCCTATACCAGATATCCTATCAATTCAGCCATAAATATTTCAATATATTTTTCAGTTTAAAAGAAAAGAACTATTTTGTTGACATTACCACTAAACTCATTCCTTAGTAACATCAAATTTAACCATTTCTCAGTAGCATCTAATAGCCAGTCAGTGTGCAAATGTCTAGTTGCCTCACAAATATAAATACCTTTATTTCCTATTGTTCCATCCAATATCCAAAAAAGGCCCATATATTGCAGTGGGTGCATGAGTCTTTTAAGTCTCCTTTCATCTGTAAGTTTCCTTCTCCACCTGTATTTTTCTCCCGATATTTATTTGTGGAAACCAGGTCATGGTTCCCAGAGAATTTTCTGTAATTTGGGATTTGGCTGATTGGGCCTGTCTGATATGGATGAACATTGTTCTCTGTTCTTTGTCGTCCCAGTAAATTAGGTGAATCTTGAAGCTTGATCAGATACAGGTTTGGATTGGTTTTTGTTTTGTTCTGGGGGAGTTATAAGGGCAGGAATTTGCGGGTGGTTCTGTATTCTTCCATCAGGAGGTCCCTGTTTGCCTGGCTGTCTTGTGTTATCAACCGCCAGTGGTCAAGCCTAGATCCAGCCATTCATTAGAGGTTACGTGCAGCAATGTTCTGATTTTATCACTCCTTCTTCGTTCTTTTAAGTGGAATGGATTTTGTTTTAATGGGGCAAGGTGAGTCATTGTCAGTGACCCATGAAGCCAAAGTGAATGGTGTGGATTGATTGGTTTATTCATAGATATGCATCTAAAACTACAGTGTTACCATACAGATTTTGTTGCTGTTTATTCATAGATATGTACATAAAACTACAATGTTACCATACTGTTTCTGTGGAGGTTTATTCATAGATATGTACATAAAGCTACAATGTTACCGTACAGATTCTGTGGTGGTTTATTCATAGATATGTACATAAAACTACAATGTTACCATACAGATTCTGTTGCTCCCACACTATAAATAGTTCTTTTAATGTTTGGCTTTTGCAGAGTGAGTTTTCTTTAAGTGGGGCCACCCCATGTCTCAGAGCCCTTTGCCTTTTACTGGAGTCAAGGAGTTGTGGGTGGTGGTTCTGGGGTGCCCAGCGGGGAGGCAGCTGTGGTGGACTGCAGAAATCCCCGAGGGACCTCTGGCACAGACCATGGGACGGGACAGCCCCCATGATGCCTAGGTCTATGGCCTATCTCGGGGCACTCCTGCAGGGCACAGGGAAAATTAAGGTTGAAGATAATAATGAACATTGATTGAACATTTACTGTGGGCCAGGTTTTATACTGAGCACTTTCCTTTTTTTGAGACACAGTCTCACTCTGACACCCAGGCTGGAGTGCAGTGGCATGATCTCGGCTCACTCCAACCTCTGCCTCCTGGGTTCAAGCGATTCTCATGTCTCAGCCTCCTGAGTAGCTGGGATTACAGCCATCTGCCACCACACCCAGC